CCCGATTTTGACCGCCCTTTTATCCTTACCACCGATGCGTTAGACTTCGCTGTAGGAGCAGTGCTTTCTCAGGTCTTCCCCTCATCTCCTGATTCCTCTCATCCTCGTATCCCTCGCTTCCCACCACCTACCCCTACCACTGCTTCCCGACTGACGCCTACTCGTCCAGCTACTGACGAGCCTTCTATATACTATTCTCCTACCATCGCCGAGGATGGCACTGTCGAGTCTCGCTCAGGTGATTGTCCGATAGCCTTTTACTCCCGTCAGCTCCTGCCCGCCGAGATAAACTACACTGCTGATGAACGGAGGTTCTCGCAGTAGTTTATGCCGCTCGACACTGGCGTCACTACCTGCACGGGGCACCATTCACGGTGCGCACGGACAACTCTGTTGTCCAGGCTTTTTTGACAAAGCCGAAGCTCACTCCTCGACAGGCTCCCTGGTAGCGCGACCTATCCGAGTTTAGTTTCACCACTGAGCACATCAAGGGTGAGACTAATCGGGCCGCCGATGCCCTATCCCGGCGCCCTGACCACGACCAGGAGCACATCCAACTCTCTTTCATCTCGGTCAACACCGTCCACCACTCGGTGATCGACGAGTTTCGCACTCAGTACCGCCACTGCCCCGACTATCGCGACATCCACGCGACCCTTCGGAGTGGCAAGACCGTCCCGAACTACTCTCTCGGGGACAACGGTCTTGTGTACTGACACGGTTCACAGGGCACCAGAGAGCCCCGTATTTGTGTTCCCTCCACTGGACAGTTACGTGTCCGAGCAGTAGCAGAGTTCCATGACCAGGCAGTTGCCGGTCATATGGGCTTCCATAAGACGTTGGCTCGTGTGAGCCGCCTGTACGTCTGGCCGAAGCGCAAGGACTTTGTGAAGGACTACGTCGCAGAGTGTCCCACCTGTCAGGAGGTGAACAGTGCGAACCACCTACCTTATGGTTTGCTCCAGCCTCTTCCAATCCTTGAGGGTCGTTGGCAGTCCATCTCGATGGACTTTATCGGCCCTCTTCGACCTCCGACCCCTCCGACTTCCCTCACTTTAGGAATCATTTGCATGATTCCCTTACCCATCATCTTTCTACCCTTCGCCGGCCCTCACGCCCTAGTTAGGCAGCCCCGCATGCTTCATCTAGGTGCGCCCAGTATACCAGGCTCCCTTGTTCCCTTGCATGGTSGACCCTCCATAGCRGTCACCCCTTAGCCGAGCATTACCCGCCCTGATGGTCTATCTGTTAGGGTCATTGGTTCTGCTCGCTCCCAGTTCCCTACCCTCATTGAGCCTGATGACATGTGTTTTCCCCTGTCACTATGTATGGATGCCCTTAGGAGTTTTCGACCCCTAG